ATTACAATGGACACCAGGTACTAGTTTACCCATTTGCACACTCTAAGTTAATGTCTACATGCATATGATACCCCCAAATACACATTGATAGTTGAAATTGTACGACCACCTAAGTTGCACTTAGGCCACTTAAACGCCACGTAGGCACTTACTCCTAGCATTTTTTAACCTTTTTATCTTTTATTTCATTTGTGAGATTTGATAAACCGAATACTTGTGATAACTGATTGTGCGCATAGTGCAGGGACCAGGATAGTTACTCCTCCAATAAATAAATAAACACAATTTTGGATAAGTTGCACTCTATGTCGTGCATCTAATTTTGACTAAATTTAATATTCAAGTTTCAACAAAGTCAGCGTCGGCGTATGTACTGTGTTCAAAAAAAAACTTTCAGCAAAGTCATGATATTAACTATCCAAGTGAGCCCCCTCAACCATCTACGAAAAACGTAGATGCCATCGCTCTCACCGGCTAGGCCACGGGTCCACTCCTTCTTCACTGGAACTTGTGAAGTTATGTCTTTCCTGGCCTAGTCGGGTTTAAGGTTGTCATCTAGCCCTCTTCATTGCCTTCTTCTTCGAAATGACGATCTGTTTTTCAAATAATTGATTCCAACAACTTCTGGCTTTGACAGATGACTTCTCGTCCGCTATGTCAACAACATGTACCTGGCTTCAATGTTTTTTAAGAGCTTCATAGGTGGTATCAAGCTTCGCTCACTGCCTATGGTCGGTGACGTAGGATCTGCAATCTAAGGGTTCCTTCACCCACCAACTCATTGCATACATTTCGCAAAGAAGTCCAAGTGCCTTGTGCAAAGTAATAACCAGTTTGTGTGGATGCTTGTATGCAAAAATGTGAGGTTCAATCAGTAAACCATGTTTAAGCTTCCATGTTTCCATCGAGTTAATGGTTTCCACATTGATACTATCTCGGAGGAAGATGACATCGTTTGGTTTGGAATTTAAAAAACTTAAAGAAATGAGTAAGAAAAAATATAGCATGTGGAATTGAGTGAAGAAAATACGACCGAATATTTCCTCTTCAACAATGAGTAACTAAAAATAAGTAATGACATGTGCTATCGTTCTCCTCCCCTAACCCTAGATGTCTAGAGTAAACTCTCCCCTCCAGTCTTCACCCGCGAGCCTGTGGATTGCCTCCCCTCTGCCTGCCGCTCCGGTGGCCTGTGGCGAGGCAGGAATTCCGGTGCCTCTGTTGTGGTTAGCAGTTTAGGTCAGGTTTTTTTAGTCCTCGCAGATGCGGCGCTCGGGAAGATGGCAACGTTTCTTCTTCGAATTTGTCTTCCGGGCTTCGATCCTCCTCAAGTTCGTCCGTCTGGACGTAGTCGACGGAGCTTCGGAGTAGATTCTTTGTTGTCTCCTTTGGGCGGTGATGTTAGGGTTTCTCGTCAGGTGATGAAATTTGGTCTCAGTTGCTTCAGATCTATCCAAGGGTTCAATGGCGACGTCTGCGGCTCCAGGGCGCTAATCCATGGTGGCACGTGTACGAAGACTTCATGTCTGTCATCGACAAGGTCTAAGCCGGCTCCGGTAGGGGAGCCGCGACATCGGCGTGTTCTGGCAGCAGTAGTGGTTGTTTGGTGGCCTCGGAATCTCGATGCAATTTTTTATTATGTTTGAGACGCTTTGTATTTCAGGTGAACTTTTACAATTGATATGATTTTCGGGGGGAAAACAACAACAACAACGGGTAACTAAAGCTTTTTTTAATTCCAGAGAAAAAGCTAAACCTTTTTTTAACTGAAAAATGGGTTACTGAACCCTGGTTAAAAAAAAGGAAACTCTGGCTTAGCATCTTCACCCTGCCGGCCGCCGCCGCCGTCACAGGTTGCCGAGGGAACCCAACCCCAAGACTGCCAACTCTCCACCACCCAGGCAAGTAATTCCCTCTCCCGATCAATCTACAGTTTTACCCGCACTCCCAGGCTCAGCGTCCCAAATCAATCTGACGACGGCAGGCCATAAACCTCCCCCGAAATCGTACACAAACATGATGAACACCGAAAAGGGCGGGACGGGCAAAAGGGCAAGAACGACGACGACGGGAAAGAAGGGGAGATCGAAGCCCCAAAGCAATGGTCGGGCGATCAATGGCGTTGCTCTCGCCCGAAAAACAAAACAGAGAAATGCAGCGGGACAGCGACGCCCACGAACACGAAGCGGCTGCCATCAGCGAGGGGCCCCCGTCTTAAGGTAATGCTTTCTTGTTAACTGGTTTTGGATGCACCGCGTCGTCACCGCCCGCTCAATTAGCTTAATCACACCGCCACTAACCAATTCGATTGATTAACCGATGGATCCGCCATTGCTGCTGCTGCGTACGCTAGTGCTTTTATCTTATCTTCTTCTTCCTTTAGGTTGGCCGTCGAAAGGTTCCCCGTCTTTTGGCGCCTTTATGGCAAAGCGGGAATTCTTCGTCGTCACGCACCACCCTTACGCCATTCACAAAAGAGGTGGTGAGTAGGTGCATGCACGCCCCCACCACGCATCAACATAATCTATCTAATGTGTGCGTGTGTGCAGTGTGCACACACATATATTCCTTCTTCGATCGTCCCCGTTTCTTAATCAGGTGTTTTTTTCAGAGCAGTGTATGTATTCCCATCTTGCTTTCGGGCAAAGATGATTTGTGGAGGCAATGATTGCCCGGCTACGGGGCGACTTCGAATGGGTCTGCGAAAACCGGGCAAATTTTCGACCAAAATTCTGAAAAGGTTTACATGTGATTGCACTCTTGACTGAATTTTATGGTACTACTTTGCTTTGCGTTGATGTGATAGGCGTGGCTACCGCTCAATTATGCAGGGAATCAAGAGCTTCAAGATATCCAAAGACTGGTTAAGTGATTAGCATCATGTGTCCTTCTCGATCAAGAACGGAACCATCGAGATGACACGGGTGATCAAAGAAACACGTCGATGCACCGGCAAATGATTAAGCAGCTATAGCTAGGAGAAATGACGACAGCTAGCAGAGGAGGCAGGTTTCTTTTTTTAGGAGGCTTAGAGGTTTGGTGATCAGGAGGGGGATACCCCAGAAATGGCAAGTTCCACCATGTACACAATTAGGTGAATCTCAAGTGATGATGTCCCTCAATTGCATCATGGAATCTAACATGACCCCCATTATAGGGTCATCGCTCATCACGAGATGTGTGTATTACTTAAATCCTCCTTGCCTTAATCAGACCCCACCACAGCACACCAAAAATCGCACCCTAACACATTGAGTTACTGATTGAAGTTCAGTTTAGTGGTTAACAATTCTGCATGACCCCAGTGCTGCAACCCTGTAACTAACTAGCACTGTCTGGATACCTGTGGGCTTGGGTTAAAACAACCTAACAGAATTTTAGGGGGTTTAGCCAGTGGGGGTCTCTTCTGCGCTGTAATTAGCACTTTGTGAGTGAAATGTTACCATGTCTGATGAGCCTTGTGGCAAGCAACTTTCTGCCTAATCAGTAGTGAACTAGTGACAATGAATCTGGCGTAATATTTAACCGTTTTTGCTTGGTGGTTTTCTAGTATAATGTTCTAGGAAGCTTCTTGATGCCATGCCTTTCCATGGCAGTTCCAATCACCTGTGCAACCTGAAATTATTGAGCCGCCAATGTGTCGATCTGTCCGAGCAACCAAGTGTGTATATGTGTGTGCCTGAAAAAATAAACACAGGATTAAAAAAGCTCTCAAGCTTCTTTTTACACCTGAAAGTTACCATCTTTCCCCTCTGTCAGAATCATGAGCACACTTTCTCCTTCCTAGGCTGGTTAGGTGATCCATGATGTGTGCGCTGAAGTAATCTAAGAGTCCCAGTGTGCAAGCAACTCTGCACAAAGCCAACTAGTTTACGGAAAGAATAATTAGTGCACCCTTAAGCATGAGAGAGGAGGCCCAGGTGATAATATTAGATACTCAAGGGCTCTTTATACTTTGGCTCCCCCTTTCCAACAGGAGGCAGCCGGCTCGGCTCTCTGCCTCTTTATATAACGCCGCATCACTCTATCTGCCCAACTTGGTGCCCTCTCGAGCTCGGCGAGACCACATCTGTGAAGAAGTCTGTCTCCCTCTTGTGTTCCGAAGCTCGCTGTTCGAGTTTTTAGCTGCGGAGCTGCGGGTTTGAAGGAAGCCATCCTCCTCTGTCGACGACGGGAAGACCGCAACCGGGTACTGAATTTCTCAGCCTTCTTTGTCCGTTGATTTTGTTTTGCTTGTTTGCTCCTTGAGTATGCATCTGATATAGTCAAGATCAAGCTCAGTCCTACTTCTTGGCTGCTATTACTGTGGGCTATGATTAATGATAAATAAGGCCTTCTTATCCAATAATGATAAGTATGGTCTCTGTCGGAGTTACTATCTTAGTGGCAAGAGAAAACATCATAGTACAGCCTGCAAATACATGGCTTGTGTATCTATCTTAGTTCTTGCTGTCGTGGAAGAAAGGCATGATAGTTCTTGGTGCCCAGACAGATTTCATCTTCTCATCAAAAGCCGTACCGTCTAAGTCATGCTTAATAGTTATTTAAAGCTCTGTTAGTCTTGTCTAATTTGTTGCTTGTTTTGCTTACCCTGAATGGGACTGCAAATTGCTAGTACAATGGTACAGAAGTAACCATATTCGCTCCTCCAATAACTCTGGAATAGCTCTCCTAAGCCATACGTTGGTGGGAATCTTTACATAGCTGGAATAAAGTGGCTCGAACAATTGCTCAAATTTCTATATGTTATCTCCCAAAGGAGCGTATCCTCGTCGGAGTATTTTTCTATGACCATATCTTCCTCCATGTTCCTGCAGCACTAGACAACCTTAGAGACCGCATAATAACTTTCAGTACTCGTGAATCACACAACTCGTATTCCTTTTCCCCTTTCTGGTAAACGAATTCTTGTTCTCCATCTGACAGATATGAGCCGGTGATCAATCCAGGTGTGTCATCTAAAAGGGAGATCAAACCAGGTAGCATGATATAAGGACACAATGGAGTTCTACCCTGGATACCTTGAAGACCACTTCAACATCCACAAGCTTAGGTGTGTGTCTATTTCCCTCGATGAATTCCCCCTTGATTTCTCCTATATATTTTGTCCATCCGATTCTCTTTGTGAATTCATAAATAGTATAGTCACAGCTGTTGCATTAATGGTCTGTCTGAACTCTGCAATAGAAAAACTGGTGACAGGCAGAGAGGAGACTTAGCAACTAGTATCGCTTAATAATTAATTAGCGCGCACTTGCACCGCAATTTGCATTAGATTTGATACTTGTTGATGATGATGCAAACTGATCAACGGTCTCCGGTGGGAGCTGGCAAGTGGGCTAGTGCATCCCTCCAAAGTGAGATCATGTCAGTTCAATAATAGTATTAACAAAGCAAAGCAAAGCAAATCATAGACTAAGCACCGTCGAAAGGAAAAAAAGAAGAAGGAATCGCCACGGTTAGGATCGAAATGGCGCGTCAAGCTAGAGAGATACCTTGTGCCAATTCTTCTCTGAAAGTATAATACTACAGGGGAGGGAGATGCCCTGCTTTGTTCCTCGGCCTAACAGCCGTCGAAACCCCGTGCCGTGCGACGGTAGCCGTTTTCTGCACAGCGTGCGTCAACGATTGACGATGATCGGCGCGAGTCCTATGAGAGCCATGAACTTGGCATCAGGTAAAGTGGTGAGCAGTGGTTCAGTTAGTGTATGCACTATTAACAAAGCAAAGCTTGCACTGACAAGTGTTAACCACCTTGGTTGAGGAGCCCTGAAAAAAAAAAGAATCACCATGTGTTAGAATCTTAGTATCGAAATGGCACATCGAACTAGCTAGAGGGAGATACCCTCCCTTGTGCCGATTCTCCGAAGGCATAAGGGGGAGGCGAGATGCTCCCCCTCCTTTGTTCCTCCCTCGGCCTGACGACGACCGTAGAAAGTAGAAACAAACGCAGGCTGCCGTGTCGGGCAGAGCTTTCCTCCTTGAGCCCACGGGTTACGGCGAATTCGCTTAGGCGGCGGAGTTCCTGTTTCTCCACAGGACACGTCGTCGGCCGGTGATCGGTGCCAGCCTGAATTTGCAGATAAGAGAGGCCGTAATAGGTTAGTCTGAATTTGCGCATTTTCTGAAGAGTGATCGGTGCTGGTCTGGATTTATGTTCAAGGGAGGCAACAATAGGTGAGCCCTAAAGCAGTGAGCGGTGAGCCGGTGTGTGAGTGCGTCGCCATTCGACCAGCACCAACCGACTGACTGACTGACTGACCACCCAATCAGCAACCTTGCCGGGACACGTGTTGGTTTTTAGGATCATATGCCGCAGGGAACCTAGGCTGCACGTGAGGACGGCGGAGCCGGGCCGGTGAACCTGGACGCAACACCGGCCGGGGGCCTGCGTCCGTGTAGTGCGCGGAGGCCGGTGGGGCTCGCCGGCCGGGCATGGAGAATTGGAGATGGGATGATAGATACCTCTGCGTCGTTCCTGCGTGCGCTGGAGTGGCGGATAGCGGACAGACCTAACTTGGGCCTCGCCCTTTGCCGCGAAAGCCAGGGAGGGGAGGACCCGCTCCGGCGCCAATTATTGGAACACCATTGTTGATTGATTCCTCCCCCTTTCTCTCTCTCTCTCTTTCTTTCTTTCTTTCTCCCGGTGCCCGGCCGGTAGTAGCAACAGCAGTACTGTAAAAAATCCTCCACTACTCGTGGAGCTCCTGCATGCCAAGTATAGATCCACCCACCGTGCATGCCTCGCCCCGGTCGCCGATGAATCATGGCATCATCATCAACCCCATGGACTCGGGTTGGCGATCGGACTGGTGCTTCGTTGGATCGATAGAACAAAAAAAAAAATCACGTACGTTCGGTTAACGGGACAAATGTATTGATTTGTAGTACTAGGACAAAAGGGTTATGGCTAGTGTGCTTTTCCGCGACATGACGTCAACGATGATGAACGGACCGGACCGGTCGCCGTTGCCGCTCTCGGCACGTAAGTGTGGCGGCTTCAGGAATTTGCAACCGGGTATTCATGTGTATTCATTTTGCCAAAATCATTGCTGTTTTTCAAAAATTGTCACTCTTTTGTCAAAATTAACATTGTTTTATAAAAATCATATGTATTCACATGAAGACCCAAGAATATCCCTAGCGCCGCCCAAGTGAGTGAGGTGAACCCTCGGCAAGTGGGGACGTTTTATTTGTCCCGGGGCGCAAGGGGAAGAGGCCAAAGCCACCTCACGGCCGCCTTTGCAAGCGCCAAAAGCCAAGACAGAAACAAAAGGGCCGGGCCGGCCGGCCGGGGCACGCCCACTCCCCGCCCGTCGCGCTGGCTCTCCTCCTGTCCACGCCACGCTACGCGCCCCCGACTCCAGATTCCATCCATCCTCCACCACTCCAGCCGGCCCGCCGGTGACCAGCGGCCACCCCTCGGATTCCCTCGTGCGCGCACTCCCTCTCCTCTCTCTCCACCGACAGATCGGAGCATCGTCGCCCCCTGTCCGCTCCAGCAGCATATCATATCATCTGTTGCGTACCTTGTCAGCTCGGTCGCACCGGCGGGCCGGCCGGCGCTGCTGCCTACTTGCCTAGGTGTGGCGCTCAGCTCGAAGAGCATATCTATCTGGCGCTCTGCGCCTCCCACCTACCTACCTTAGCCCCCAGTTGTAGCTTAGTGCTGTACCTAGTACCCACGCACATCCATCCCCAGTTCCCCTGCTTGCAACTCCTGTGTGCTGATTCTTATCTTGGTTGTTCAGCGGCACCGGCGGCGCCTCCCCGCCGGAGTACATGACGTCGGCCGCGGCGACGCAGTACGCGCCGGCGCCCCTCAGGATGGCCATGTACGAGCGCGCCCCGCAGCAGCAGCAGCACCACCACCACCACCACCACCAGCAGCAGCAGCAGCCCCAGCTGCAGCCGGCGCTGGGCATGTGGAGCAGCGAGCCCTACAAGGTGGACAGCGGCGGCCAGGCCACCAGCGGGTCCAGCATCATGGAGCCCGACGCCAAGTTCGACCACGCAGGGGTACGCGACAGATTCATTCCCGCTGGCTCCTCAGCTGCTGGTTCACTCTTTCTCTCTACTCATTTAAGTCATTTTGGTGTGGTCTCTCCAGCTAGACGATGATCCGCACATGGACGAGCTGGAGACGGCGGGGGACGCCGATCAGGGAGCGAGCAAGCCCAAGGAAAAGGTAACCATCAATCGCTCCATCACATCTTAAACTGCATGCTACTGTATACTACTTGGTCATTCTTAAATGTGCTGGGCAATGGAGAATTAGAGATTACTGTTCTCCAAAGTACAATTAGCTTCGGTTGTCCATTTCCGAGGCTAATCTGATCGATTCTTGCTAGAGGAAAAGGACACTGTTCCGCTTATAAATTCATAAGAGATGATTTTGTTCAGGTCATGAGAAGACTTGCGCAGAACAGAGAAGCTGCCCGGAAAAGTCGCCTAAGAAAGAAGGTGCCTCCCTATAACAACCTTGAACATCCTGCTTGTCGTTGATCATCAATTTATCATGCTAGATTGAACATCGGAAGCCATGGCAGATTCACACCAGTGACTGACTGACTGACGCCATTGTTGTGCTCCTCCCTTCACCACAGGCCTACATCCAGCAGCTAGAGTCGAGCCGGATAAAGCTGGCGCAGCTGGAGCAAGAGCTGCAGCGCACCAGGCAGCAGCAAGGCATGTACGGGGGGAGCAACCCGGGGGCGAGCCTGCAGCGTCATCACGGCGGGGGCTCGGCCGGCCACTTCGGGTTCGCGGCCGCGGGGCAGATGATGATGGACCCCGGCGTGGCGGAGTTCGAGATCGAGTACGGGCACTGGGTGGACGAGCAGAAGCGGCACACGGAGGAGCTGCGGAGCGCGCTGCAGCCGGGGCAGGCCACGTCGGAGCTGGAGCTGGAGGTGATGGTGCAGACCGGGCTCGCCAACTACGACCGCCTCTTCCGGATCAAGGGCGCCGCCGCGCAGGCCGACGTCTTCTGCGTCATGTCCGGGCTCTGGCGGTCCCCCGCCGAGCGCTTCTTCCTCTGGATCGGCGGCTTCCGGCCCTCCGAGGTCCTCAAGGTACGTGTTAGTTTTATTCTTATCAAGTCAGTCAGAGGTCGGTCGGAATGATGATCGCCGTTGTTGTCGCCGGCGTCGTCGTCGGGGGTTGACCTGTTGAGTAATGCTGCGTGCGTGCGTGTGTGGCTGGCACGCAGATCTTGAGCCCGCAGCTGGAGCCGATGACGGACCCGCAGTCGGTGGCGGTGTACGCGCTGCAGCTGACGTCGGCGCAGGCGGAGGACGCGCTGTCGCAGGGCATGCAGAAGCTGCAGCAGACGCTGGCCGAGTCCCTCACGGACCCCTTCGCCGCCCCCGACGCCTACATGGTCGGCGCCGTCGAGAAGCTCAAGGGCCTCGTCGGCTTCGTGCAGCAGGTACCAACTACCCACCACCCAGCCGATCAGCGCCGCCGTCGCCCGACCCATCCATGATCTGAACCTCTGAAGATTTACATACTCACCGCATGCATTTTTGCAGGCGGACCATCTCCGGCTGGAGACGCTGCAGAACATGCACAGGATCCTGACGACGCGGCAGGCGGCCAAGGGCCTGCTCGTGCTCGGGGACTACTTCCAGCGCCTCCGCGCGCTCAGCACGCTCTGGGCGGCCCGCCCGCGCGAGTCCGCCATAAGCTAAGCTGCACTCGATCACGTAGCAATGGCGGAAGCAGAGAAAGATCGACGATGGCGCAGAAGAAGTTAGTACGTACGTAGTAATCCATCCATCCATCTGCTGGCCAGCGGAGGACGAAGAGATCCATCTCGCTGGGTCGTCCAAGGGAGAAGAGGTAGGCATTCAGAGCCGCGCCGTAGGTACGTGCGTTCATATGCTTGCATGTTTTCCAGACGATGACAGAGTAAACCAGGGTAATTAAGGTCGATCAGGTGGCCGGATCAAGGGGATCGAGGATGTGTAAATACTAAACATGTTTTGGTGTGATGATGATGGTGGTGGTGATTGTGTAGCGATGAAATTGCTATAAGAAAACAAAGGAGAAATTGTAGCGCTGGTGATCCCGTATATATCATGTAATTGGTTGTGATTAGTGTTGGTCGTATTGTATATGGAGGAAATGTTTTGCTAAAGAACATTTAGATGCGTTCTAAGCAGTGGCGGAGCTAGACAAGATTGATTGGGAGGGCCAATGAGAAAATACAGTTTCTAATGAGGGCAAAAGCTCTATTTTTTCTAATATAAAACTTACTATATGAATTTCCTTCACTAAAGTCGTCCAGGCTGGGGGGCCACGGCCCTGCAGCCATGCACGTAGCTCCGTCACTGGTTCTAAGTATTGCACATCTAAGTCCAGGTACACCTCGCATCGCTTGTGTTACCTAAAGGTACCTTCAAGTCTATGATAGCCCGTGGCGGGTGGTGCGCCGAGTTTCAACCACGCCGGAACATCCCGGATGGGTGTTCTTCAATTGCAGAAAAGATAGTGTATGTGCTTCTTTTCATTCGTTGTTCACCAGATTCGACGCATTTCGGTAGCTCGTTGTTGCTCTAATTTGTGTGTAGGATGGATGCAAGTTTTGGTATTGGAAAGAAGATTACATCGATCTATTGATAGCATGAAAATTCGTCGCAATACAGCAAGGCTGGCGTCATAATCCATTTGCCCCTATTGCCATGTTTATCAAGAGTCTTTTGCCACCTCATGGTTAACTGGCCCTACTCCATTGATATCTTGTGTCCAATCATCACAACCTCTCACATGTCGGCCTCTCCTTTAACCTATTCCTACTAATCATACTTTCCTCTCCTTGTGGATTCATGGTACTGCGCTACTCTCCAACTCCATGAAAGAGAAGTGGTGTGTCTAGGTTATGATAATCTCATGCTTCTAATTGAAAGAGCGCAACTCTTGAATCTTCCAACTCTAAAGCGGCTTCAGTGGCTATGACCTTCGAGGCCATCCCCGCTGAACTCATTTCATGGCGTTTTGTCGGATGAAGGTAACTAAATCCTTTCCACTGCCACCCACCCCACAATTATTCATAGCTCTTTGGCCGCAACTTAGTCTTATAGCTGTTGCATCTTTGTATAGATTTTCTCTTAGCTTAATTAGTAGCTATTTTCCCCTCTCGGTCATCGTAAATAAACACTTTAATGAATAAGTGCATTGTTGTCTTTCATAAATAAAAACGTGTAAAAACTACCATCGTTTAGCTGCAGAAGTACAATGAAACAAATTTGGTTCACCCATAAAAAAAACTGTCGTTTCTTACCTCTTTGTGGTTGGATGCATCACTTGTAGGTTCCTGTTAAGAAATGACAGCATTGAGAGAATGGCCTTTTTGAGCTCGGCCTCCATGGAGGCCGAATTTTTTGAAACATTCAACATTCATACTTTTCAGTTTTTTAAAAAACTAAAAAATTGAAAATTCGTTAGAGGCATAACACACATGTATATAAATTTTCATGGCGTTTTGTCGGATGAAGGTAACTAAATCCTTTCCACTGCCACCCACCCCACCATTATTCATAGCTCTTTGGCCGCTGAACTCATTTCATGGCGTTTTGTCGGATGAAGGTAACTAAATCCTTTCCACTGCCACCCACCCCACCATTATTCATAGCTCTTTGGCCGCAACTTAGTCTTATAGCTGTTGCATCTTTGTATAGATTTTCTCTTAGCTTAATTAGTAGCTATTTTCCCCTCTCGGTCATCGTAAATAAACACTTTAATGAATAAGTGCATTGTTGTCTTTCATAAATAAAAACGTGTAAAAACTACCATCGTTTAGCTGCAGAAGTACAATGAAACAAATTTGGTTCACCCATAAAAAAAACTGTCGTTTCTTACCTCTTTGTGGTTGGATGCATCACTTGTAGGTTCCTGTTAAGAAATGACAGCATTGAGAGAATGGCCTTTTTGAGCTCGGCCTCCATGGAGGCCGAATTTTTTGAAACATTCAACATTCATACTTTTCAGTTTTTTAAAAAACTAAAAAATTGAAAATTCGTTAGAGGCATAACACACATGTATATAAATTTTCATGGCGTTTTGTCGGATGAAGGTAACTAAATCCTTTCCACTGCCACCCACCCCACCATTATTCATAGCTCTTTGGCCGCAACTTAGTCTTATAGCTGTTGCATCTTTGTATAGATTTTCTCTTAGCTTAATTAGTAGCTATTTTCCCCTCTCGGTCATCGTAAATAAACACTTTAATGAATAAGTGCATTGTTGTCTTTCATAAATAAAAACGTGTAAAAACTACCATCGTTTAGCTGCAGAAGTACAATGAAACAAATTTGGTTCACCCATAAAAAAAACTGTCGTTTCTTACCTCTTTGTGGTTGGATGCATCACTTGTAGGTTCCTTTTAAGAAATGACAGCATTGAGAGAATGGCTTTTTCGAGCTCGGCCTCCATGGAGGCCGAATTTTTTGAAACATTCAACATTCATACTTTTCAGTTTTTTAAAAAACTAAAAAATTGAAAATTCGTTAGAGGCATAACACACATGTATATAAATTTTTACGTAATACGTTGAAATTCATCAAAATTTATATTTTTCAGATTTTCAAAATTTTCAGTTTTTCATGAAATACGTTGATTTTTTAGGTTTTTTTGAAATGTAAAAATATAAATTTTGATATTTTCAAGAACCGGCCTCCATGGAGGCCAAGCTCCCAAAGGAATTTTCGCAGGATTGATGCTTGTAAGAAGAAAACAATTTAACAGGTTGCTGAAGTAAAAACAAAGGAATCCGGATTTGTTCAGGGATTGAACCCTACGTGAATCGAACACGCAACCTTCTGATCTGGAGTCAGACGCGCTACCATTGCGCCAAGGATCCGGTTGGTGTTAGTGTGAGTACCATCATATTCTTATAGCATATTTAAAGTGTTCTTCAGCTGTACTATATGTACATGGCACGCCAAGCCGACGGTACTCTTGCATGAAAAATACTAATAATCTACGGTAGTTTTGGGCTCTGGGCATACACATGCATACGAACCATTTAGTTCGATGCAAAAAAAAAAACCATTTAGTTGGGGATAGGGCCGTCTGTTAGATGCGTGGGAAATGACGAAAACTTGAGATGCATCCATTTCCGCTCCCCTGGCACGTGGACGGCGGAGGGAGCCGACACGTTCGGCCATTGACCGGTAGGTAGGCCCTGGCCTGGCCTGGCTGGGCCCACTTGCAGGTAGAGGTGGGTCTTAACAGGAGGGGAGATCCTTACAGAGGAAGCACCTGCAACGCAACACACACTGTTGCCCGCAGCACAATTTTATTTTAATCAATCATTATAAATCAGCACACACCACACACACACGTGCTACGTACATGTGACATACACGGTGCTCTAGAGCAGGCGTTTCTTCTTCTCTCTGTGCACGACGCACGCTCCAACAGGACAAGGCGGCATGGCACTTGAGACTCCAGACACGACCCCGAGCATGGCAGGGGATCACGGACAGAGACACGCACAGGCTCAGCCGCATCCAAAAGGATGAATCAATGAATGCATGCCAATTCTGAATTTCTGACCAACATACGCGCCTGTTCATCACTTGTTTGGTGGCATGTCAACAGCGCCCCTTCACTGACTGACAGGGATCGCACACTAGCTAGTATGGTTTGTAACAAGATGACACACTGAAATCAGCTTGTTCAGACCAACAAACAAGCTTAGATGTTTCCTTTGCAGTTCAGATGTCACCCACTGAACCGAATCAACCAAGGAGATGCGCAAGAAGAAGAAGAAGAAAAGAGGGAAAAAAACTCCCCTTGCCAAGAACACAAGAACAGAGTATAAGAGTCGAGTTAATCAGCAGCAGCGGCCGGGGCTCGATCCACCCGCGCATATATGTATGTATCTATCTATGTATGTGTGTGTACCGATCTCTATAAATTAGAATTGAATTTTTGTTTTCTTTTTTCTTTTTTGCTTTGGTGTATAGCAGCAGTGAGTCACCTGCTCATCATCTCATCTCATTGGGATGCCAGATGCCGAATGCCGATGCGGATGCCAGTACCAATGAATTGTTTGTACTAGAGTAGTACGTATATTACAATGGTTGGTTGGGGATCACCTCACGCCGCTCTCACATCCCCTTCTTCTTCTTCTTCTTTTGCAGGGTGCCCGTGGCGACGGCGGCGGCTACGGCGTCGTCGTCGCAGACGCCGCGCGTGCCGTAGCAGTGCAGGAACACCCAGAGCAGGGCGGCGTTGAGGAGGGTGTTGACCACCCACGCCCCGGTGCCGCTGCACCCGTCGGCCATCGCCCCGCCGAAGTGCATCCACACGACCCAACTTTGGTGTTGGACTGCGTATCATGATCTGAACAATACGCAGGTAGTCATGGTGGGAGCAGAAAAGATCGATGATGGTGCAGAAGAAGTTAGTATGTATTCTTTCTGTTTTAAAATAGATGACCCAACTTTGTATTAATTTTAGTATAAAGTTAGGTCATCTATTTTGAAATGGAGGGAGTACGTAGTAATCCATCCATCTGCTGGCCAGCGGAGGACGAAGAGATCCATGTCGCTGGGTGCAAGGGAAAAGAGGTAGGCATTCAGAGCCGCGCCGTAGGTACGTGCGTTCATGCTTGCATGTTTTCCAGACGATGACAGAGTAAACCAGGGTAATTAAAGTCGATCAGGTGGCCGGATCAAGGGGATCGAGGATGTGTAAATACATGTTTTGGTGTGATGAGGATGATGATGGTGTAGCGATGAAATTGCTATAAGAAAACAAAGGAGAAATTGTAGCGCGGTGATCCGGTATATATCATGTAATTGTTTGTGATTAGTGTTGGTCGTATTGTATATGGGGAAATGTTTTGCTAAAGCACATCTAGATTTATTCTAAGTATTGCACATCTAAGTCCATGTACCACCTCGCATCGCTTGTATTACTTGAAGGTACCTTCAAGTCTATTACCAAATTGTAATGATCTCTTCTCTGGGTCGGATCCAATAAGGGCATTTCTAACCGATCCCCAATAACCGTTTAGAGGCGCGGTTTTTTACTCCTCTAACCGGCACCTAGCCGATCCCCAATCGGCGCTAGTGGAGCATAAATTATCCTCAGCCGCGCCCTGCCTCCCTATATTTACTCCACCGCTCAGCGGCTAAGTAAAAAGTCCACTCTCCTCCGCTGCCTCCCACGCCGCATCTTCGCCGTCGTCGCCCCTCCCACTGCCCTCCGCCGCGGTCCTTGACCAACCGGATTGGTGCCCTCTTGCCCCGTCGCCGGCGCACAACCGGTAGAACTGCGGCTTCCCCGTGTGCCGCCGGATTTGGCGCATCCGACTGCCGGCGACTACACCTTGCCATGGATTGGCTAGGTACCGGACCGCACAGCCTCGACAATGCATCCACGCCACATGCAAGTATTGATTCCGGCTCTAGCCGCTCGGATCTCTCCCGTCGGCGGTTCGCCGGCAAAGACATGCCCGGCCGTCTCTCGGGCTCGGCGCTGGCCCAGCGGCTTGTCGGCTCACCATTGTCGGTCATAAAATGCGACGATTGCCCACAACAGGTGGTGCGCCGAGTTTATACCACACCGAAATATCCCGGATGGGTATTCTTCAAGTGCAAAAAAGATGGCATATGTGCTTCTTTTCATTCGGCTGTTCACCAGATTCGGCGCATTTCGGTAGCTCATTGTTGCTATATTTTGTGTGTAGGATGGATGCAAGTTTTGGTATTGGGGAAAAATTTACATCGATCTATTGATAGCATAAAAATTGATAGATGCTCGTGCACTCGTTGCTAGAATAAAGACTAAAAATGAGATTAGATGCGAAGCAACGTCTACTTCTTCGAAATCAAGGAAGAAAGAAGTGTGAAAGCTCAAGAAGTTGCATATCAACAATAAAGACATAGAGAAGATACTAATCCAACTAGTGGGAGCAGTTATGAAAGTTGGATGTCTTTTAAAATGTCTAATTATGGTTCTTGTTTTCTTTGGTCGTGATCTCGTAGCGAAAAAATAGTGAATTATGTAATCCAATACATCAAAATGTTCATTGAATGAAATAAAGAAGCAAATAAATGTGTTTCAGTGGCCAAAAATGAAATTTGTTTTACTCATTTATATATAGGGGATCGGTTAGGTCCGGTTTACTCCACCGGATACTCTGCTATTTTTAGGAGATCGGTTAGAAATGCCCTAAGGTGTTAGGAGCAAAATGTAAGTGGGACTTTGTATGTCAACAAACGGCTATGGGTGGTCTTGACATTCTGGACATGGAGTTGATAAATATAATCTACACAGTCAAAAAACAAGAATCTTTCAAGGAACCATGAAATCCCAGCTGTAGGTCTGGATATAATTCATTTCCACCTTGAGATGGGCTTCATGCATGTGCATTTGGTTAACCATCCTTAGTCACCTACACATAATATTTAAATTCAAGGAGAGGTGAACTTTAGAGACTAGAGATGGAGACATATGCCCTTCCTTGTCAAAAGAGTGTGCATATTTGTTAGACTTGCTACTCGAGGTATTCTAGGATTTTAAATCTCTGACCATAGACATGTCACTCTTGATGGTATTCCTTCTCATTTGCCCAGTTCACACTATGTGTAGGGGCCGTAGTAATTTCAAAAAAATTCCTACGCACACGCAAGACCATGGCTCCTGAGGCTTCGTCCAAGGAAGCACCCCCATCCGCGGGAGAAGGGGGCGACAAGACGCGGGCCTCTCCTGCCCGGTCGTCCTCGCGAGGCCTGGCAGGGCTAGCTGGAGCGAGCTCAGCCCCCATGGCCCAAGCGATTCCCGCGGTGTCTTTGCCTGGCGCCACTGCCGCAGTCGTCGGGGCGCAGAAGGCCCTGACTCATGGCGTTGTGATTACGCTGCCGTCTTCGCCTCCTACTCCGCCAACCGTTATCTCTCCGACTCCTCCTACTGTTCTGGATCGTGCTGCTGCTGAGCTAGACCGGCTGCGGAAAGATCTTCTGGGCGCCGACCCTCGCTTGGTGGACGGGCGCCTGGAGTTGGTCTCTGGCTGGGTCCGCTCTGATGCTTCGATCCGATCGGCGCTGGCTCGGGCCGCGACAGCCTGCGACGAGGAGAAGCAAGCCGTCCTTGAGGCGAAGGCTGCTCGCGACGCCGCCTTGGGTGACGTTGCGGATGTCTAGGGCCGCTACAAGGTGCTAGAGAGCGAACTGCAAGGCCTGCGCGACCAGCTTGTCGAGGAGGCCCGTGTCCGCCAGGAGAATGAGGAAGGCATGAAGGCCCACGAGGCTGCCGCCAAGGCCGCTTGGGTGCGTTGGAGCAGGCGTTGGAGGCGAAGAAGATCGAGCTGGACGGCAAGGCGCGGGTCCTGGCCGAGGACCGCGTGGCCTTCGCGAAGCTGGAGGTGAAGGCTCGCACCCTGCTGAAGTCGTTGTACGACAGCGGCCTAGAAAGCCTGCTGGCTGGCGCCAAGGAGGGCCCCGCCAAGCTGCTTCCCTTCCTGGTCCGTGCCCTCGAAGATGTCGCCCTCGGCCTTGGCCCTACGGCTGAGGCTGAGGCGCGCGTCCTTGCTTCTGCGGCGCTAACGCGCGTCCTTACCCACGTCTACCTCCGCGACCCCAGTGTTGACCTCGACAGCCTGCTGGAGCCTGTGAGCGGAGAGCTTGCCGCCGTCGCTGCCGAGGCCTTGAAGGGTCGCGCGGAGGCCCTGCTGGCGAAGTTCCGGGCCTTTAGCACCAAGCCGAAACGAGGCGCTGCCGGTCTTGAGGCTCCACGAGGCGGAGCTGCACAGCGTAGCACCGTCACCAGCGACGGCGCCACCGAAAAGTGATCCCTTCGCGGCTCCCGTCCTACTTTAAATTCCTGCAACATGCATTCTGCCTCGTGGAGGCGTTTAAACTTGTGTTTGGCATTCTCAAAGTATTCTATGGACTATAATATTTGCTTTTGAATTCCTTGAGATTTTGCGTTTTTCCTTCCTACTTGCTTGTGTTCTATGTCGGCAGAGCCCGGCCCCGCGCGTACCTCAGCCGCCATTAGCCCCGACCGGAAACCAGGACGGGGCCAAGGAGTGAGGGGCTACGTGACAAGTTAGGCTCCTGAGTCGCGATGCTCAAGAGTCCCTCTTGACGCACGAACAGCAAGTAGGGAGGTGAGATGCATGGGTGAATTTACCGTTCTACGTCGGCAGGGCCCGGCCCCGCGCATATCTCAACCGTCGTTAGCCTTTCAGAACTAAGGGGTGAGGGGCTACGTGACCAGTTAAACTCCTGAGTCGCGATGCTCAGGAGTCCCCCTTGACGCACGAACAACAAGTAGGGAGGTGAGATGCATGGGTGAATTTACCGTTCTACGTCGGCAGGGCCCGGCCCCGTGCACACCTCAACCACAGTTAGCCTTTCGAAACTAAGGGGTGAGGGGCTATGTGACCAGTTAGGCTCCTGAGTCGCGATGCTCAGGGGTCCCCCTTGACGTTCAAATGGTCTTCATACCTTGGCTCCGCTCGGGTAGAGGTGTGCGATGAACCAGGCCCGAGGGGCCTGGCTGGGTGGCGTGCGCCTGGGCGTGACCCTGGCGCAGCCCCCGTGCCCATCCCCCTCGCGCGGCACTCCCGAGGGGAGGCGTTACGATGAGGCCGGACACTGAGCTCTGGGCTCCCTGAGGTTGATGCAGCCGGGGGCCATCCTCAGTTGTTTATCACTAGCACGGAGCATAGCGCTTCCGTATGTGTACGGGCATAGCCGCTCCTCGGCAGTGTCGGCAGCCAGCATGGAGCATGGTGCTTCCACTGGTGCGTAGGAGGGGGCTCCCCTCTGGGAGGAGCCCCCGGGGCATGTACAGCCCCGCCCTGACACGTGGCTAGCATGGTAGGGCCTGGCGAGGTGTATCTGGGCACCCGTGAGCCAGCGCGGGATTCACAGGGCCCTACCTCAAGGCGGGTTGCGCCTGGCTCTGGGCCTTTTCTTGTAATGTGTCCCTGCAGGTTTGGTTAGATGTCGGTGCTCTACGTCCTCAGGTCCCGGCCCTCGAGCGGGGCTCAGCCGTCGCTGGCATGCCAGGTCGCGATGCCGTGGACATGGCCAAAGGGTGAGGGTTGGAGAGCCAGTAAGAGCCCATGAGTCGCGATGCTCAGGTACCCCCCCTTTAACGTGCAAGCAGCTGACATGAAGAAAGAAGGGTGCCATGGGCAAGTATCACACAACGATAATGATGGGTCACGACCCGAATAAACGCGAGAGGGATACATGCCACCGGGTCTGGCCCGTGTGGCTTGGGGATAATGCAGCCTGAGGGGCGCCCCCGATAAAGTAAGCTGAAAACATGAACTAAAGGAGAT